AAATCTCAAGAGACATTAAATAGAAAAAAAATAGCAACTGTTTTTGAGTAAAAACACACAAACGCATACAAAAAGTTTGTAAAGGCCCCAACTCTGAAGCGAAGTGATGGCACTAAAGGAGAAGAAGAACATCGATCATATCGACGTGAAGGGCAAGAGGGTCCTCCTCCGCGTGGACTTCAACGTCCCTGTGAAGGATGGGGTCATCACGAATGACCACCGCATTCGCTCCGCCCTGCCGACGATCCAGAAGGTGCTGGAGTCTGGCGGTAGCTGCGTGCTGATGAGCCACCTTGGCCGCCCAAAGGGCGTGTCGATGACAGCAGCGGCTGCCTCCGGCGGCAGCAGTGTGCCTGGCTACGAGGCGGGAGCGACGCTGGAGCCTGTGGCCAAAACGCCTCAAAGAACTCCTCAACCTTCCGGTCGCCTTTGCGCAGGACTGCCTGAACGCCGCATCCATTGTTGAGGATTTGCAGCCTGGCGGCGTCGTGCTGCTCGAGAACGTGCGCTTCTACACGGAGGAGAGCAGTAAGGAGGAGGAGGAGCGCCACGCCATGGCGCGAGTTCTGGCATCCTACGGCGACGTTTTCGTCAGCGACGCGTTTGGCACTGCCCACCGCGACAGCGCGACAATGACTGGCATCCCCAAGGTGCTCGGCCACGGTGCAGCGGGCTACCTGATGGACAAGGAGATCTCTTACTTTGCGAAGGTGCTGGGTAGCCCGGCACGGCCGTTTGTGGCGATCGTGGGAGGTGCGAAGGTGAGTGACAAGATCCATCTGCTGGACAACATGCTGCAGCGCATTGACTACCTGCTCATCGGTGGCGCGATGGCGTACACGTTCCTGAAGGCGCAGGGCCACAAGATCGGGAGTTCAATGTGCGAGGAGGACAAGTTGGAGCTTGCGCGCTCGCTGCTGAAGAAGGCGGAGGACCGCAAGGTGACCCTGCTGCTGCCTGTGGACCACGTGTGCCACACGGAGTTCAAGGCCGTGGAGTCGCCTTTGGTCACGGAGGGGGTGGACATCCCTGACGGCTACATGGCGCTGGACATCGGCCCCAAGACGATTGAGAAGTACGTCGAGGTCGTGGCGAAGTGCAAGAGTGCGATCTGGAATGGCCCGATGGGCGTGTTTGAGATGAAGCCGTACTCGAAGGGCACCTTTGCGATTGCGAAGGCGATGGGCGAAGGCACGCAGGAGCTGGGGCTGATGAGCATCATCGGCGGCGGCGACAGCGCAAGCGCGGCGGAGATGAGTGGGGAGGCCCCACGCATGTCACACGTGTCGACGGGCGGTGGCGCGTCGCTGGAGCTGCTGGAGGGCAAGACGCTCCACGGCATCGCCGTGCTGGACGACAAGGAGTAGAGGCGGCGGCCGCCACGTGGATCCAAAAAAAAAACAGAACAAAGAAAAGCGTTTTGTTGGTTAACGACGTGCCGTTCGTCGTGCACCTCCCCCTGTCCTACGGTTGTTTGTTTCTGCCCTTGTGTGTGTGTGTGTGTCTTGGCCCTCTTGCGGTGTGCCGTACCATTCGCCGTTGCTGCCCGCGTTGGCGTGTGGCTCTTTTTCATGTGCTTGTGCGACCTTCGCGCGGCGCCGGTGCGCGTTCACGCATGCGAACAGCAAATCTCAAGAGACATTAAATAGAAAAGAAATAGCAACTGTTTTTGAGTAAAAACACACAAACGCATACAAAAAGTTTGTAAAGGCCCCAACTCTGAAGCGAAGTGATGGCACTAAAGGAGAAGAAGAACATCGATCATATCGACGTGAAGGGCAAGAGGGTCCTCCTCCGCGTGGACTTCAACGTCCCTGTGAAGGATGGGGTCATCACGAATGACCACCGCATTCGCTCCGCCCTGCCGACGATCCAGAAGGTGCTGGAGTCTGGCGGTAGCTGCGTGCTGATGAGCCACCTTGGCCGCCCAAAGGGCGTGTCGATGACAGCAGCGGCTGCTTCCGGCGGCAGCAGTGTGCCTGGCTACGAGGCGGGAGCGACGCTGGAGCCTGTGGCAAAACGCCTCAAAGAACTCCTCAACCTTCCGGTCGCCTTTGCGCAGGACTGCCTGAACGCCGCATCCATTGTTGAGGATTTGCAGCCTGGC